GTGTGTCCGTGTGTCCGTGTGTCCGTGTGTCCGTGTCCTTTGATGTGTCTTGGAAGTAATCGAGCTCTTTGAGCACTTGGGGTCTTGAGGGCTTCGTAGGTGGGGAGCTGCTGGCGTTTGGGTTTGGAGGCTTAAGGTTCTGGGGCTTAGGGCCTAGGGTTTGCGGCTTTAGGAATGTAGGGGCAGAAACCCGAAGGTTCACAAAACTCGAGGCCTGCGGCCACCTTCTCGAGTGCCTACCTGCTCTCCTTAAAAAAAACCTTACCACTGCTTCTGAAGGATCCTCTTCAGGAGTTTGCCTGTAGAACCGATCACAAACCTCGCATCAAGTCCATGAACCCTGAACTTTGGGATGTTCCCATTATGCTAACAGCTCCTGAATAGGGTTTGTAGTAGAGGGTAGTATAATCCCTTTTAGGGACTGTTAGTATTAGGGGGGGGGGGGACATCTCAACCTGAACTTCACTGGACCCTGTAGTCGGGCAAGGTGCTTATTGGCCTCGACCTCAAGGAGGACGCCAGTCGCCGCCCGAAGCTTGGGCTGTCCTCTCCCATGAGCCGCAGGTCATCCGCCCGCACCGCCGACGCCACGCGGTCAGACACGGCCACAACACTCACGACCACCGGCCTCAATAATGATAATAGTTATACTTATTAATAAGAATAATGATAGTAATAATAATAATCATCATCATGATCAACGGTCCTTGCCAAGATGGTTCGTTTGAGGTTTTCGGCTTGGAGTATTTGGAGTGTAAGTGGGGATGGGGCAAGTTCCCGCTGCAGTCACCCAGTCACCCGATTTGGCTATAAACGGACTCACCCCCAACCCTAAACCCTGCAGCACACCCTAAACCCCAAACCCTGAACCCTAAACCCCAAACCCTAAACCCAAAACCCCAAACCCCAAACCCTAAACCCTACCAGGGGAGAACGGTGGAGATGCCCCAGGGCCTGGTCGTCCCCGCAGCCGCCTGGGCCAAGACCTCCCGAGGCATCGTCAGCCACCCCAGGCCCGGCAAGCTGCTGACGTTGTGGTCTGAGGACAGCTCCTTCTCAAGGTCTGAGGATGCTAGGGGTTTAAGGTTTGAGGATGATAGGGTGTAGGGTTTAGGGGGTTTAGGGTTTAGGGTTTCGGGTTTAGGGTTTAAGGTTTGGGGGCTGAGCGCCAAGGCTTTTCAGGGCTACCTGGTGGATTGCGGGCCTTGTGAGGGCTGCGGACAGGAGGGTTGAATAGCAGGTGACGTATAGAAGTGGGTGTGAAGATAGCATATAAACTTCGAGGAGTACTGAAGCATTTTGCTCCGGGCCTCTACACGAAAAGCTGCAAGTTGAATGACACCGCTCTCCGTGTCCAACTGAACCTGCTGCAGGACCCCTGCAGAAGAGGTCTCTGGAAGCGTGGCGACGAGCTGCTGGACTGCCGCAGCCTCCGTCTGAACAAGCTGCTCCAAGGCTCGTGCAACTTCTCGCCTTCGCTCTTGTTCCAGCACGGCGTACTCTGCGGCCATCAAAGTTTTGGTGGAAGTGCTCATTGTGGAGCTGGTTGTGCCCGTCGAGGACATGGAACTAGTGCTATGGGTCGAAGATGCTGTGGAGGTTGGTGTGAGACTCGTTTCAGTAGCAGTTAAAGTCGATCCTGTGGTGCTGCTGGATGACGTCGATGACGTCAGTGTTGATGACGTGGAAATCGACGTAGTGGTGCTGGAGGTTGTGCAAGATGTGCTGTGGGTGCTCGTGGAAGTACCGCTAGTGGAGCTGACCGAGGAGGTGGTTGTGCTGGAGGTTGTGGTGGAGGTGCTGCGGGTGCTGGTGGAGGTGCTGCTGGTAGAGCTGACCGACGAGGTGGTGGTGCCAGAGGTTGTGGTGGAGGTGCTGCGGGTGCTGGTGGAAGTGCTGCTGGTGGAAGTGCTGCTGGTGGAGCTGATCGAGGAGGTGGTTGTGGTGGAGGTGGTGGAGGTTGTGCTGGATGTGCTGCGGGTACTGGTGGAGCTGACCGTGGAGGAAGTCGTTTGGCTTGTCGTTGTCGTGACGGAGGTTGTTGTTGTGACGGATGTTGTTGCCGAGATACTCGTTGTGCTAGTGGAAGATGTTGTACTTGTGCTGGAGACAGAGCTGCTTGTGCTGGAAGTGGAAGTGGAAGATGTTGTACTTGATGTAAAAGTCTGCGTGGTCGTTGATGTTGAGGTGCGATAGACCCACACATCATTTAGGACCTGCTGCCCATTCCAACCCCCGAAGATGTACATCTGGCTCCCATCCCAGGCTGCCGAGTGATAGGCTCGCGCGGAGGCCCCGCTCTCCAGCACCGTCCATGCATCTGCAGTTGCATCATACTGAAACCTATACTGATTTTGGAACCCTAGCAAGAATAAAAATTGTTGCTGTGTCTTAGGAATTAGAGAACCCAAAAAATCAAAAACTATTCCCAAGCATCCCTAAGAAACAAGCTGTCAAGGTTAGAAGATCCATCGGTGCCGCCGAAGATGAACATCGAAGTAGCTGGCTGATCCCAAACTGCTGCATGACCTTCCCGCGCGGAGGGACTGGTACCGCTGGGTGACAGCTCACTCCATGCTTCTTGGTCGTAGTCAAACTCCCATAGGTCTGACAACAGGCCGTTGCTGGATTGACCACCGAAGACGAGCATCTTCTTGCTACCGGAATCCCAGGCGGCCACGTGGCTCCAGCGGGCTGTGGGGGTCGCTTGAATCGACGGACTGCTCCAAGAGTTCTTCGTGGCATCGTAAATATGTACAGATGCCAAGGCTTCATTTGTGTCCAAGTTCTGACCACCAAAAAGCACCAGCGCATTGTCGTTGGAGTTCCAGACAAGTGAAGCGGCATATCGCGGCTCGGACAGGTCAGATGGACTAGAACTCCAGGTCGACGTCTGCGCATTGTAGCTACTCAAGTCTCCGTAATTCGACTGGCCAGCACTCCCCCCCACGATGTACATGACACGGTCGGTCGGATTCCAAGCAGCTTTATGCTGCATTACAGCGGTCGTAACGCCCGCCTCGTCAATGATCTCCGACCATGTGTTCCTGAACTCAGTGATCTTGAGCCCTAAACGGCCCTAAACGTTCAAGCTTGAGGATGTGCGACCAGGAGAACATCAGGGATTGCATGGGTCGCTCTCGATCCCAAAACAGAATGCGTACACGTCTAGGTGCTTTTTTACGGGAAAAAAGAAGGCCTGCACCCAAACCCTAAGACCCCCCAAAAAAAAAACATGGTTGAGAAGAACATGTTGGGTGTCTCATGGAAATTCGGAGGTGCTTTGTAGGATTTACGGGTTAGGGGTACATGGCATTAACGCTTTGAAGTTTCGCTTCTAAGAGGCGTTCCAAAGACTATGCAATGTGAAGCTTTTGCAAAACTTGTTGCTTTGACAGCTCTGGTGCTTGCAAGGGGGAGATCTCCCAATCCCAAACCAAGACCCTTAAACCTCAACCCCGGAACAAAACCCGAAAAACCCAGAATTGCAAAAGCATGTCCCAGTAGATGCTTCCAAGGGTCTTGGAGGAACCATAGGATTGAAGGTCACTAAATCTGGTACTGCCGTCTTGGTTGCCTGGACTCAACGTTGGAGTTGCGAGGCGTCAGGATTTGTGGTTCTGGATTGCCTGGCTATCCGAAAAAGCCCCACATTCATGTTTTAAAACTCAAACCTTCAGGCCGCTTAAAGCTTCAAAAACGGGTTTCGGGCGGCTTAGGGTTGTTCTACGACAGGTCCTAACATAGGAAGAGAACTTAAAATCTGTGCATCCAACACCCTCCGTTGGTCCGGCTAGTTTTCGTCAGAACCTTCACAGGATGTCTGTCCCCTTTCAGGGACATCGAAAAGCTCCAAGTTCATGGTGTATAGACAAAGCTTGAACATCCCGCAGGTGTCTGGAACTTCGGCAAACTTGCAAATGTCGAAACTTGTTGCGCAACAATTGTGAAATCTCATTGAAAGCTACTTCGCCGATTGAAGTTCTCAACTCCAGAAACGGATTGTCTGGGAAGGCTAAAGCCCTCTAAATCCAATGCGGCCGCGATGCCGCCGAACACCAACATTTGGCTGTCACTGGCATCCCAGACGGCAGTATGGGAAGCCCTTGCACTGGGCGCGTTTGAAGGGTTCAGCTCCTGCAGCTTGCACTGGAGCTTATGGTACCTTGAATCCTGCAGCACTTCAGCAAACATCCTCAAAGGTGTAGAATCTAGATCAACGTTGAATGGGGCTACTTGTTTTGATTTGCAACTACTTTGCGAGTGTGTGTTTGACATACTTACCCCCAACGCACTCCTGAATGCTTCAAATTTGGGCACTTCCTATGCCCGCAGCCTCCCATGTTGCAAGGGCCACTGGCCAAAGCCAATGGCACCAGGATTTTACCATGTTGGGTCATCTGAGCTACATTCAAAGCAAATGCATGCTTCTGACATAAAATGCTGCAAGGCTGCATGCTGCCTGTGTTTCCGACATGCGTTCCAAAGACACTAAAGGCTTCAAGAAAGCTACGGATACACGTTCGGTCAAGATGCTGTAAATTGTTACACACAGCCGATACATGATACAACGACTCACCTTCAACAATCGAATGATGTCCAACCTCTCTGGACGCGAGCATAACAAAGCTGCGGGAACCTCCACGTGCCACTTACTTTCTGCTGAAACGAATCTTCAGGCCCATGCTCATCTTGTTCGAGACAAATGGGGTCAAGGGAAGGGGGGACTTCCTCCCTTGCTTCGCAAGTGCGAAGGGATCAACTTGTTGCTTTAAGAATCGGTTGTGGAGTGAAGGGCTGGGGGATTTCAAAAACTCCGCTAATCTGCCAAAGCACTGCGCAGCAAGGTGGCAACGGAGGTACGCTCAACCAGCATGTTGCAATGCAAACCCGCGCGAACAACAGCTGCACAACAGAGGCCTCATCCACTTGTTGGAGGCTGGACCATAGCCCGCACCTGCCAACAGCATGCTGGCATGCTCATGTTCACGTGCATGATAAATGAGAAAGGAAAGCCCGCCTCGTCCAAAAGAGCACCCATGAGCCAAGCCAGCCGCCAACTGCACAACCTGCTCATCGACTCGTTGCCACCAAAAAAAGGGGAAACGGCACCAAAAAACGGGGTGAAGGCACCAAAAATGGGACTGAAGGCACCAAAAACGGGTGAAGGCACCAAACACGGGAAGGCACGAGTGAAGCCACCAAAAACGGGAGTGAAGGTACTTGATAAGCAGGCAAAGCACTCAAAGAAAGGGTCGGTCGCGGAGCTGCCTAAAGCGTCTGTTCACTCAGAGCCTGGCACGAAGACGGACGAAAATGTCGATGAAGACCTTGGGGTGATGGGGAGCACAGGGCACTCCAGTGTTGCGGGGGCGGGTTTGGGAGCTTAGAGCACTCACACCTGGATCGAGCCATGAGGGGTTCCCGGGTTGGGTATGGTCCTGCAAAGTGGGGCACAGACACTGCCTGGCTGCCTCGGAGCCACCACTTCAAACACTTTGAACCGCCAGCACTCCTACACCCTCCTACCCCGCTACCCTGTGCGCCTACACTGACACCGCCTAGGCTTTGATATCTGACTGGCTTGGCTCTGGCAGCTTGAGCTTGGGCTAAGGGCTTCCGCACAAGACGCCACGAGCTTCCAAGAAAAGAATCGATTTACTCAAAGCCCTGAACCCTGCAGCCTAACCTCGAGCTTCAAACGTCATGAAGACCAAGAAGTTTTAGCAAGGTTTCAGGGCATCAGCGGCAGGATTGTCGGACAAGGACAAGTGCGTAGCAAGATTGCGCCTCCGTGGTACAAATGATACAGGCTGGTGGTCTGTTGATCTGCTGCCCCTCTAGGCCCAGGTCCCTACTCCTTACAGATGCCCAAAAACAGAGACCACCAACCTGTTTAGGGCACAAAGCAGCCACTGTACATTCTACATCAGATGCTTCAACTGCGGCACTAGAGGCTACAGTTCGACAAGCTGTGCAACTGGCACGTCGCCAGAGGAGCTCCCCTGCACTTCAGCATCATCGCATTGGTGAGGTGCTCGCTGCAGCTCTGGCGAAGCAAAAGCCCGAGCGCCTGGAACTTGCTCAGCTGGACAAGCAGCTTGTCCAGCTGAGCTCAGGTCGCCGGACAAGCTTCGCTTCACTTCAACATCATCAGGTTCGTGGGGCGCTGGCTCTGCTTCTGTCGCGTCAACAGCTCCTGGCACCTGCGCAGCTGGACCAGGTTCTTGTCCAGGTCCATTCCCGGTGGCCTTGCACTTCTTGCATGCAAAGAAAACTGCACCACCGCAACCAACCAGGAAAAGTAACCAGAGCACGAAGACGAAAGTGCTTGCCTGCTGATGGACCGAGAATGACATGAGGAAAATCATCACGCCGAGAATGAGAAAGCACCAGTTTTTGCACGACAGCTTGCCAAGCGACTCGCAGCACATGCAGCAAAGCCTGCCCCCGGCATTCAAGCCGACGCTTGCGGCACCATCCAGGTGACCAAACGCATACTGAGCGGTCTCCGTCCCGTGTCGAGCAATGCGATCATCCCGCCCGAGGTTCCGCATCTGTGAATCACTGCCTTGCTGGGGGTATGGTCCGGCCACTCCTGGATTGAACCGAATATTGCTGTGGAGTCTAGGCTGAGAGCTCAGGGCCATCCAATACATGTCGGGAGTTTGCGGTCAGGGTACGAACCGGGAGCACTGTACCTGGGGGCCCTGCAGGTGTTGGCGGGGCACCGTCCCGGGAGTCCCGCTTGCAGCTGGCGTGCGGCGCTGCGAGGCAGCCTAGGACACGGCGAGGGCTGCAGAGGCTTATGGATGCGCAGAAACTGGGATCTTGGACCGGCACTTCCTGTGCGCAAGACGGGGTGGCTGAGGAGCCGTTTAATTGTGGGGCTGGGAGAAGGCGCTGTTTGTGGGGCAAAAGGGGGGGTAGAAACTCTAAAATATAGGTTCCGATCTCGAAGCTGATAAGAACAGGACGCTCCTGCTGTTTGGGCGGCGTCGGAAGAATTTCTCTGCTGCTTTCGGGGGGCATTGTTGGAGACCCTGCATATGATCTCATCAGATGGTCACCTTCAGGATTGCTGGGGATTCCCGGTCCTACATCTCCCTAACGGCTCGATGTCCACTCGGGATAACTAGGGTTTTTGGCCCTGCAGCCGTGGTGTTGCGTGCACCGCCACACATTGAAAGCATGGGCTCAGTGGCTGTGAGGAGCTATGCTAAAGGTAAACCCGCCACACAGATTTGCAAACCTCAAGCCCGCAGCCGAAGGCAAACAGTCAGGCACGATGTCATTGTGCTCGTCTGGCACAGTGAACGAGACCTAGCTTGCCTCGCGCTCCAAAACAGAACCTGATTTTTAAAGAAAGCTGAGATGTCAAATCGCGTCACGCGCGTATGACAAATGCGGCTCCGCTTTTCGAAGATTCTCACCCGAAAGCTGGTGACAGGTGGAAGATGAATGGGCTGTATTTCGGGGTTGTGAGGCCGAAAGGAAAAACTCAAAGAAACGAGTTTTCCTGATTTTAGCAAGAAAGCAACATGCAGGCCCAAAACGGAGCCGATCACATGACAACAGCGACAAAGGTCCCCAAAATTTCGGCAGCTGCTTAAGAGCCCGCCAACATGAACATGACGTGAACATGACTGTCAGAAGCAAACGCACCGATCCCTTCTTTTTGCACTGGTTCTTGAAACGTGCAGTTGTGTGAAGGGAGCAGCTGTGCGTGACCAACTGCCACATACAAACAAGTTGCAGCTCGCAACCTGAACACGCCCCCCTTCGCCAGAATGACGAGCCGCAACGCTCATCAGCTCCAAGGAGGTCGCAGCAAGCCTCTCAGCCTTTGGTTTTGCAGCAAAATGCTGCTCTTCGCTTCTTCCAAGACGCCAGTTCCTTGTAGAGCTCAGCTCCCGCCTCAAGCAGCTCATGCAACACCAAGCCCGATATTGCCTTGGACAACACATTCAGGCACCTGGCGACAAGGCACTCAACGCCTGCACTGCAACGGATGGGAGGCGGGCTGACCAGAAAACTAAGCAGCGATTCAGGCTGCACCACAACCCGCCTGGCACACTTGGGACTGCCTACCGAAGGACATCTTTAAAACCGCACCTCAACCTGGCACCTGGAGCTTGGGACGCCTGGCACAAGATCCACAGTGGTCTGTGCTGCAATAGGGACCTGAGGACCTGCGGCATCTGCTGAACCTGGGACGCCTGGCACAAGACCAACGGCGGTCTGCGCTGCAATAGGGACCTGAGGACCTGCGGCATTTGCTGGGACGCCTGGCAAAAAGACCCACGGTGGTCTGCAGCATGCAATAGGGACCTGAGGACCTGTGGCATTTGCTGAACCTGGGACGCCAGGACACTTTTGGCGACAAAACGCGAAGACGGGGGAGCTTGGCTTGGAAACAGGCTTGCTCGCTCTTGCCAACCCGAGCTGACACATCGATATGCACACGTAGCGTTCTCGCTCTTGCGAGCTAAGGGGCCGTGGCAATCGCCCCAAGCGCACTTCGCTGCTGCAGAGCTGTTGACATGCTGCAGGGACGGGGGAGGCAGGCTCGCTGCTGGGTGTAGGGCGTGGTCATTCGCATCAACAAGTGAGGGCTGGTTTAGCCACACAATAAGCAGCGCAGCCCACGCGTGCAATGGCTGGTACAGCCACACAGCAGCAGCACAGCCACTGCGCGCGAACTGGATGCTTCGAAGGCCCGTCGAAGGCACACACACACACACACACACCTTTGCTGCGTTCTCGCTCGTACTAGCAAAAAAAGGCCAGCGCTATGCGCTTCCTCAGCGTTCTTGCTCTTACTAACCAAGAAGCGCACAAACAAACACCCACCTCGCCCCGTCCACAACGATGTCTTAGCGCTCTATTCGCCGGCGGGCCTGACGAAAGAGGCCATTCGGGAAAGATGCACGGCGTTCACAAGGTAAACATTGGTCCCACTAGGAAAGGAAACTGTGGCAGCATGTCTGTGCATGAGCTGTAAATGCTTGGTTCAGCCAACGCACACTGCATGACCTAACCTGTATATGGAGAGGGAAGGCGAACCACCTATACCAGGAAACCCTTGGGGTTAGGGTATAAGGTTCAACAGCGCACTTCCCTCTTTTCTCACGGGCGCTGCTCTGGGCGAATGGCAAGCTGTCCGAGAGAAGAGATCCCACAGGCGTAGTATACCCCCTAGGCTACTCCAATTTGGGAGGCGGACGCGGCGTTCCTAAAGTGGAATACTCCTCTTTGGGAGGCAGATATCCCGGAGGGATTGGGCACGTGTGGCAAGAGGTAGTTCTTCTTGTGGCCTTTCGTAAAAATTGGCAAACTCTTCGAAACGTAGAAATGCAAGTATCATTCCCATGAGAATCCCGGTTCTACTTGCACAACAAGAAGCACATGCGAACTCCCATCTTTTTCCAATGAGGTGCAATCTCCCAGCATCAGGAAAACACAATCTCGCTTCGGTCCAACCGAAGTGAGAAGGTTAGGACGAGCACCAAGCTCCCGATCGCCCCAGGCGACTACAACCCCGGGCGGGCGGGCGGGTGAAAAATTTTCAAGCCCCAAGCTTGAGCGACAAACATGCCACACATGTTCACAACTCATGCAACAAGCACTGAGAAGCTGTTACGCATGTTGGCAAGAAAAGTACAAATCCAAAAGATGCAGGTACCAAACCTTGCTCTTACAGACATGTACGTGAACGTGAAAAAAATAAAGACAACGTTTCAAAGAGATTTCTTTTTCTACCCCAGGTAGAAAAACAATTTGCCAATCCTAAACGATAAAGCACTATCGCATTCGCGAAATGGCTCTTATCGTAAAAATTGGCAAACTCTTCGAAACGTAGAAATGCAAGTATCATTCCCATGAGAATCCCGGTTCTACTTGCACAACAAGAAGCACATGCGAACTCCCATCTTTTTCCAATGAGGTGCAATCTCCCAGCATCAGGAAAACACAGTTCTCCCAACAAGCACTGCATGACCTAACCCTAGCTGGGGAGAGGAGTCAAACCCTAATCCTATATCCCAACCGGGAGGGGTTTAGGGTACCAACGACTCGCTCTCCTGTTTTCAGCGGTGCTGCTCTGGGCGAGAGAGTGAAATGCATCGTGGGAGAGGCTGGGCAAGATCCCACGAGCATGTAAGGCCATCACACCCCCTGTTGAGGTGCGATGATGAGGTCCCGAGGCGGGACCGGGGCTACTCCACTTTGGGAGGCAAGTGGGCATTTCTGGAGGGCTACTCCACTTTGGGAGGCGGGATCCGGATGGATCCAGGCTTTTGGCTGATATGCTTTGAGTGCGTAAGGGCAGTGGTGGGTGGGCGAAAAGCAGAAGGCCCCACCTAGGGGTTAGGTCAAGGCCAGCTGTGAGCCGGAGATGCTCCAGCTGCGCAAGGCTTGTTTAGGCTTAATGCAAACAGCGGTGCATGATTCACTTGTGGGAAAACACACGGGAACCAAAAAACCCGAAGCGTTCTCCCAACAAGCACTGCATGACCTAACCCTAGCTGGGGAGAGGAGTCAAACCCTAATCCTATATCCCAACCGGGAGGGGTTTAGGGTACCAACGACTCGCTCTCCTGTTTTCAGCGGTGCTGCTCTGGGCGAGAGAGTGAAATGCATCGTGGGAGAGGCTGGGCAAGATCCCACGAGCATGTAAGGCCATCACACCCCCACTTCAGGGGCCCAGGGCAGACCGGTGAATGCATTAGGCCTCTCTACCCCCACCGCGGGCGGTCTGGCTGGTACCCGGGCACTAGGCTGAATGTGCTGAGACCTGCACGAGGCCAGTGCTCCAGTTGGCGTCTGTGGGCCATAGGCTGACCTCGTGCTCCGACCGTGCCAGGTCTTGCAGATGGACGTGGAATCTCTTTGATTTGGTCGTGCAGGCGAACTTCTGTAGGCGGTTTCGGCTGAGATCATCCGCGTCCGTGTTTTTTACGCCCGGTATGTGCCCGACCTCTAGGCTTAGGCCCTTGGCGTGGGCCCAGGAGGCTACCTTCTGTAGGAAGAGGCAGAGGGGAAAGGCTGTGGTAAACAGCTTATTGACTGAAGCTTGTGTGGGGCTGTTGTCACTGAGAGTGGGCAAGCAAAAGAGAAGGTTGGAGCAGCCGGTGGCTGCGTAGGCCATCTGCAATAGGACCCACTGGGCAATTGTTTCGAAGCAGGCAATGTGTTGCTGGGCGTCCTTCGTGAGGAAAGGCCAGTGGGCGCGAAGCTCTGTTATGGACCACTGCTGTGCGAACCAGAAGGTTTGGCTGGATGCGCATAACCAGCCCCCGATCCCAACTTGAGAGCCATCTGCCATGGCGTCCGCGGCCGAGAGGCATGGCAGTAGGGGCGGCTGGGCTAGGGGCATGCGGAATTCGTGGGTAAAGCATTGGGCGAGCCAGTGCAGGGCGGCTTTGCTGTCGTTGCGCAAAGTGATTTCCTGTGCATTTGGGTCCGCGATGCGCACCCATACGGTCTTATCTGCAGCTGGGATGGGCCAGATGTCCGTTTTCGATGACCCCGGCTTGCCTTTGACCTCGATTACCCTGGCTTTGATGGGCAGCTGCAGGAACGAGGCATCTTTTGTGACTCGGCACTGGGAGTCTAGGCACCACAGGAACTGTGACCAGCTGCGAGGCGGGATGGGGTA